CAAGAAAGAAAGCAAACTTCGGCAAGCCGAAGTTCATATACCCTGCAGCTATTGCATGAATTAAATACTTTTGAAAACATTTAAATTATGATTTACTTGAGTATATGCTGAAAACATTGAAACTATGATGATTTGCAGCTCAATTATTAGATAGTTATTTTATATATTTTTATTATTTCTATGGGAGCTATATGCTATAGACGTCCGGTTTTGATAAAATTTAAAACATAATTCTGAAATAATTAAACATTGCTATATGTCGAAGAACTAAACAAAAAATTAAAAAACAGAAAAGTTATAATTTTTTTTTCATTTATTTTTCCGATTGTTCCTATGGGAGCTATATGCTATAGTCGTCCGATTTTGATGAAATTTAAAAACATAATTCTGAAATATTTAACCATTGCTATATCTCGAAGAACGAAACAAAAAATTAAAAAACAGCAAAGTTATAATTTTTTTTCATTTATTTTTCCGATTGTTCCTATGGGAGCTTTATGCTATAGTGGACCGATTTTAATGAAATTTAAACCGTAAATCGGAAATATTTAACCATTACTTTATGTCGAAGAACTAAACAAAAAATTAAAAAACAGCAAAGTTATAATTTTTTTTCATTTATTTTTCCGATTGTTCCTATGGGAGCTATATGCTATAGTCGTCCGATCCGGCTCGTTCCGACTTATATACTACCTGCAATAGAAAGACAACTTTTGGGTAAGTTTCTTGCAGATAGCTTTAAAACTGAGAGACTAGTTTGCATATAAACGGACGGACAGACGGACGGACAGACGGACATGGCTAGATCGACTCTACTAGTGATGCTGATCAAGAATATATATACTTTATAGGGTCGGAAACGTCTCCTTCACTGCGTTGCAAACTTCTGACTGAAATTATAATACCCTCTGCAAGGGTATAAAAATTGAAAGTTAGAGAAACTATAATTTTTGTTTAATTTATTAAATTTAATATTCCGATTATTCACATAGCAGCATAAAATATAGTCGTCAAGTTTTAATCAAACTCAAACCGTAATTTTAAAAAAAAATTTGTATTGCTATTTCGGACAACTAAAAAAATAAATAAAAATCTGTTGTTGAAAGCTATATGTTATAGTCGATGGTATTTTTTTCCGATTGTTCCTATGGGAGCTATATGAAATAGTCCTCCGATTTTGATCAAATTGAAACAGTAATTCTGAAATATTTAACCATTACTATATGTCAAAGAACTAAAAAAAAAAATGAAAACAGCAAAGTTATAATTTTTTTTATTTATTCTTCCGATTATTCCTATGGTAGCTATATACTATAGTCGTCCGATCCAGCTCGTTCCGACTTATATACTACCTGCAATAGAAAGACAAATTTTGGGAAAGTTTCATGCAGATAGCTTTAAAACTGATAGTTTAGTTTGCTTAGAAACGGACAGACGGACAGGGATAGATCGACTCTCCAAGTGATGCTGATGCAAGAATATATACACTTAAAGGGTCGGAAAAGTATCCACTGGGTCTGCGCATTGTCTTCAGACTTTACCAGGCTACGTTTGTACATCAGAAACATCTGTTAAGAGTATGAATAAATTTAATTTGAAAAAAAAAACTTATTACAAAAGTCAAAAATGGAAGATATTGATTGATTCTCATGGTGAAGATTTCGGCTGTACTTCCAAAAATCGTCAACGGCCGATCATTTTAAAAATTTCAGGATCCATGTATTTTGGGGTTCTGATTACGAAAAAATAAATCTAAGTTTGCGAAAAATACCCTTTTCTTTGAAAATAACGGTAAAAACAGTTATTTTTGTTTTTTTTTTTTTGCAATTTCTTGCCAATTATAACCTCTATCAAAAAACACATTCAAACAAAAGTTTTTTTTAACCAATAAACGCGCTGTTTCTTTTCCATTGTCCGTTCTTTCTTCAATCCCGTCCTCCATTCCCTCACCATTCACCAGATCTGCAAGCAGGCATAATAAACAGAAAGTAATACCAAAAATGTAACATTTTTTAACGAAAATGTACCAAAAACTAAGCTACAGAATATTAATTATGTAGAACAAAATTAAAAACAATAATAACAAGAAAGAAAGCAAACTTCGGCAAGCCGAAGTTCATATACCCTTGCAGCTATTGCAAGAATTTAAAATTTTTGAAAACATTGAAATTATGATTTACTGCGTATATGTTTAAAAACATTGAAGCTATGATGATTAGCAGCTCAATTATTTGATAGTTATTTTATATATTTTTATTATTTCTATGGGAGCTATATGATATAGACGTCCGATTTTGATAAAATTCAAACGATAATTCTGAAATATTTGCTATTTAAATATTTAACCATTTCAAAATATCGAAGAACTAAAGAAAGAATTAAAAACCAGGAAAGTAATAATTTTTTTTCAATTATTTTTCCGATTGTTCCTATGGGAGCTATATGCTATAGTCGTCCGATTTTGATATAATTTAAACCGTTAATCGAAAATATTTAACCATTACTAAGTGTCGAAGGACTAAACAAAAAATTAAAAAACATCAAAGTTATAATTTTTTTCATTTATTTTTCCGATTGTTCCTATGGGAGCTATATGCTATAGTCGTCCGATTTTGATGAAATTTAAACCGTAATTCTGAAATATTAACCATTACTAAATGTCGAAGAACTAAACAAAAACTTAAAAGAAAGCAAAGTTATAATTTTTTCATTTATTTTTCCGATTGTTCCTATGGGAGCTATATGCTATAGTCGTCCGATCCGGCTCGTTCCGACTTATATACTACCTGCAATAGATAGACAACTTTTGGGAAAGTTTCATGCAGATAGCTTTAAAACTGAGAGACTAGTTTGCGTAGAAACGGACGGACAGACCGACCGACAGACCGACCGACAGACGGACGGACAGACGGACAGACGGACGGACAGACGGACATGGCTAGATCGACTCTGCTAGTGATGCTGATCAAGAATATATATACTTTATAGGGTCGGAGATGTCTCCTTCACTGCGTTGCAAACTTCTGACTGAAATTATAATGCCCTCTGCAAGGGCAACAAAAAATTAAAAAACAGAAAAGTTATAATTTTTTTCATTTATTTTTCCGATTGTTCCTATGGGAGCTATATGCTATAGTCGTCCGATTTTGATATAATTTAAACCGTTAATCGAAAATATTTAACCATTACTAAGTGTCGAAGGACTAAACAAAAAATTAAAAAACAGCAAAGTTATAATTTTTTTCATTTATATTTCCGACTGTTCCTATGGGAGCTATATGCTATAGTCGTCCGATTTTGATGAAATTTTAACCGTAAATCGGAAATATTTAACCATTACTATACGTCGAAGAACAAAACAAAAAATTAAAAAACAGCAAAGTTATAATTTTTTTTCATTTATTTTTCCGATTGTTCCTATGGGAGCTATATGCTATAGTCGTCCGATCCGGCTCGTTCCGACTTATATACTACCTGCAATAGAAAGACAACTTTTGGAAAAGTTTCATGCAGCTAGCTTTAAAACTGAGAGACTAGTTTGCATATAAACGGACGGACAGACGGACAGACTGACAGACGGACAGACGGACGGACAGACGGACATGGCTAGATCGACTCTACTAGTGATGCTGATCAAGAATATATATACTTTATAGGGTCGGAGATGTCTCCTTCACTGCGTTGCAAACTTCTGACTGAAATTATAATACCCTCTGCAAGGGTATAAAAACCATAGTCAAAAAACGAAAATAAAATTTCAAAAACCATAAGGTTCATTTAATAAAATGAAATATGATGTTTAGTCAAGTGCACACTGATTTTATGTCAGAGAAATATAAAATGTTATCAAGCAGGAAGCGTTAACTACTTGAAAACCTTAGAGATGAGCAATTAAGCGATAGTTTGGCAAAATATCGATAAAAGTTTGGTGATGCCAAGCCGGTTCAATAATGGAGCGCTCATTTCAAAATGACTGTTTCAAGGCAAACGTTTTCTGTATTTTTTTCGTAAACTATTAGCTTGACGCAAAAAGTCACTAAATTAATGTGTGTTTCAACAAGACCTCAAACTTTTATTAAACGGTTTTTTTTAATAAAGTTTACATTATATCACTCTGCTACTGTCTTATCTTCGTGTCGGACACTGCTGTTATTACTGCTAGATCTCCTTAGCCGCTCACCGTTAACATCTCTCTTAAATTTCGATTTTCCCTAACCCCATCCTAATTATACCATTCCCACTGTTGACATATACAAGGTCTTTGAATTCCCAACCTTCATCTTCCAATGATGTACAAGCACCTAATCAACCCACTGCACTGCTGATTTCGCCGCAACTGGGAATACTATGTTATTAAAATCCAAACCCTCATCTACCAATAATGTAAAGCTGTAAAAACCTTCGATATTTTCGATTGTGATAGTTTGAACCATCGATAATATTGATACTATCGACTTAAAAACATTTTTTATATGTTTTATTGTTTTCATAGTTCATTGTACTACCGTTTCAATTTATTTTAATTAATATTATGAATTCAAACAAAAGACAACAATAATATTCGGCCTTTGGGAAGTTAAGGAATGTTAGTAACATTATTAAAGTAAATAAATAAAAAAATGAGATCCATTCATTGGAAAGTAAATAAATCATTATGGACGACAGTACATGTAGTGACGATGCGCACCAAAAAATCTGCTGCGATGGTCGTGACGAGTAATACGCCAATTGAAAGGTATCGCTAATTGAATAAGAAATTTGATTGGTTTATGAGAAATTCTTTAATAAGGTCGTTACAAAAAAGTTTGTTCTACGGCTTTTTGAAAAACTATCTTGTTTTGCAGTAAATCGCTAAAAAAACTGCTAAACTTTCCTAGTTGAGCTACAGACAAGTGCTGTATGTCATTAAAAAGGTATTGCCAAATGCGTATCACGCAACCATTTCGGTAGCTTGTTTACATTTAATTTTGGGCAAGATTAATTATAGAATACATTCAAATTTAATTCCTACTCATAATCTAATCTTTTCATTAGCAATACTTAAGGCCGAACTCAGACCGTCGCCCAGATGAGAAGTGGTCAAAGCGACAATGGAAGGGACATTTTTGGACGCTTAAAATTACAAGTGTTTGGCAAATATCGCCACGGATGTGAATTACACGGCACCATATTGAAGGCGTTTGCCAACCGGGTCAACTTATCCTGAGGAGCTCCAAGGGAAAAGAAGGGACGTACTGAAAAGGTAAGTACGCTAAAAAAATCCCATACGTCATTAAATTTCGCGGCACAATTTAGACGTAGTTGGACGTGCGGCTGGAGTGCGGAACTAATGCCTCTCATTCCAGATTAGATTTCGCAGTGAGTATTTTGAAAAAATTTTTGACTGCATGATTTTACAAATTAATAACTACAACTAATTTATTGCAGAGTTCAACGTTGGTTATTGTCGAAGCTGCAGTCAGAAGAAGCGACCGCTAGCGGCCAGGACTAGCTCAGGCTCTGCGCCAGAGGGCCCGGAGACAGTGCGTCGGTGGTCCAGAGATGACCACGTGGTCAGCGCGGGTATTCGTTCCCGGAACGGTCTCACCGAGTGAATCTCCGTATGTGGCCGTCTCGGAGGCCGTTGCTGGAGCTGCTGACGCTGGATGCTGCTGCTGCTGCTGATCTGATCGCTGCTGCAGATCGCTGCTGCAGTTGCTACGGATCACTGCTGCTGCCACGGATCACGGCTGCTGCTGGTGGACGACGTGGTCTTCACGACCAGGTTAGGTCCGCCAGGTAAGTGTTTTGCCTTCCCGAATCCTCTATATGTCCGGGGCCTTTTAGATAGGGTCCCCGGCAGTTTCAATATTTAAAAAAATCATTGTTATTTATAAGTTTAAGACCAATAAATAACTACTCACTTTAAAGTATCTAAATTTATGAACTAATTTTTCCCGACCGTTCTACGACTTTTTGCAGCAACTTAAGCACAAAAAATCGCTGGGGACGAAATTGCGGCGATACACTTCCTGACCTGGCTTCCCAAGGAAAGTATGAGCCCTTTCGTCGTACCGCAGCCGACTCCGATCGTATGTATTTTCGAGGTTCTTCTGCACCTTGTCATGCATCACTTGGAGTTTATCAGCCGTTCCCAACCCCCGTCATTTCGTGATCACACAGCGACTTCAACTTCCTTGCCAACTTGTAGCTGGCTCCGTTCAGAAACATGTGTCGTCCGAATACGGCGAAGAACGGAGCTTCTCCAGTTGCTGAATGAACCGCGTTGCGGATGGCCACCTCAATCTCCGGAAGATACGCGTCCCATTCTCGATGGTCTTCTTCAAAATAGTTTCGGATCGCCGCCAACATGCTTTGGTTTACCCTTTCCGCTGCGTTGCTTTGCGGAGAGTGGACTGGCGTTTTGATGTGCCTAATGCCAAAGCTTTCCATCGCCTCCTCGAAGATGTTGGACGTAAACTGGCGGCCGTTGTCCGAATGCACCATTTCTGGAACCCCAAACTTGTAGAAAACCTCGTGAATGAGGAACTCCACTACATTTGAGGCCGATGCCTCTTGCATGGCTTTCAGAAAAGTGTATTTGGAGAAGTGATCCACCACAATGAAGATGTAGGCCTGTCCCTTCATCGACATAGGATATTTCCCCAGGAAATCGATGTACAGCTTCTGAAATGGCTGCTCAGTCTGGACTTTCTCACCGATACAAACTTGCATCCGCAAATTCGGGGATTTCGTCTCCTTACAGACTTCACACCTGCGTATGGACTCCCGGACTTGCAGTGCCATGCCAGGCCAGTAAAACTGCCGCCGTAGGTTTTCAGAGTTTTCCCATTCCGACATGAGCTGGCGTTGGATCCGAATGTGCATCAATTATGCTGTGAGTCAGACTCTGAGGAATCCACAACTTCTATTCGAAGCCTTCCACCTCGTCATCCAGATTTGCCGCAGAGACTCTCTTGAAGATGAGACCGTCCACTATCCTCCAAGTCAGGTAGGTGGGCCAAGTTTTTTTCCACTTCTTGTAACAACCCCGTATACTCTTCCCCAGCAAACTCAGTGGTCTCGAAGCCGAGTAACTCTGACTGGTCCAGTGTTAGCTCTTCAACACAACGCGAAAGTATATCTGCCACGACGTTCTCGCTTCCTTTCCTGTGTTCGATGTTGAAGTGATATCCCTGGAGTTGCAATGACCACCGAGCCAGCCGACCCGAAAGGTCTTTTATGGACATAAGCCACTTCAAGCTGGCATGATCCGTGATGCACGTAAACGGCATTCCTGCCACATACGGCCGGAACTTTCCAATGGCCAGCAGGGCTGCGAGGCACTCTTTTTGGGTAACGGTGTAGTGCACTTGGTGACAATTCATCTTGGCCGAGAAGAACTCTATGGGTTGCTCCTGGCCGTCTTCATCCCGCTGGAACAACACTGCACCGACTCCGATCTGGGATGCATCGCACTGGATGAAAAAGTGCCGCTTGACCAAAACTGTGCCAGCTGTGCTTCTGGACTCAAGAAAACTTCTTATTTCCCGTCTTCTTCAAGGATTCCTTGAGCGGAGCTTCCAACGTCGCGACGTTCTTTATAAACCGACGGTACCAAACAGCGGTTCCAAGAAAGGCTCTCACTTCCTTCATGGTCCTTGGCTCAGGCATCCGCCTAATAGCTGCTACACGCCCTGGATCCATCCGCAAACGTCCTCCACCCACTATGAAGCCGAGGTAGGTCAAAGACTTGAAGCAAAACTTTGACTTGCTGAGACCTATGGTTAACCCCTGCTTCTTTCAGGCATTCAGCGACTCGGCGAAGATACTTCATGGGCGTTCTCATGTCTGGCGCTAGTATTAGCAGGTCATCCAAGTAGACAACTACATTCGAGCGGATCTTAGCTGGAATTACTCGGTCCATGAGTCTCACCAGCCTCTGTGATGCGTTACAGTGTCCGAAAGGCCTCACGTGGTAAAGAGGCCGACCAGGAATCGTAAAGCCTTTGTATTCTTTGCTGCTCGTGTTCAACTCAATCTGGCAAAAGCGAACTTCAAATCCACTCTGGAAATGTAGTACATTTGGTCGATTCTGGACAGGATGCCCGTCTATGCTGGGCAACGGGTAAGCATCTTTGATGGTCACCTCATTAAGCTTACGTGCGTCTAAGCAGAACCGGTGTTTACCAGACCTTGACACCACGGTGGTGCGGTTGTTCCAGGGGCTTTTGATTTCCTCGATGACTCCGAGCGCTAGCATCTTGTCGACCTCGTCCTCGACCACCTTCTGCTTCGCGGGAGACATCGGATAGGGTCGATCCTTGAAAACATCAGCTCAATAGTGTGCTTCTCCAGACTGGTGGTACCTAAGCCATCCCTCTCGAAAGTCAAGAACTGCTGCTTGATCTCCTCTAGCTCTTGTTCCTCGGCTTCGGAAAGCGTCAGGACTCGGGATCGGCTATTTCCTCATCGTCATCCTCGACCTCAGCGTAGTGCTCCATCCTTCGGGATCGATGTGGCCTATAATTGCTGGGGCCAGTCCGAATGCTTGCCAAAATCCACACCAAAATAGCTGGCTGCTCCAGGTTAGGACATAAATAGAAGAGAATGTGCTCTGTCCGTCCTCGGTATTCCACCGGTAGCTTGACCCGTCCTATAATTGACCGATCCTCTCCAGACGCCGTTCGGACTGCTGATAAGTACTTCTGAATGGGCACATCCAATGCCTCAACCAGCTCTCTGCCACCTTTACGAAGCAGACTAACTCTCGCTCCAGTGTCCAACAACCCCGTCAGTTGCTTCGTTAGGACTTGGCCTGCAGTGAATGGTCTGGGATCGCGCTGTAATTCTCTCGGCACTTAGCTCCCTTACACTGTGTGCGATCGTTGATTTTTTATTACATTATTTAACAAATAAATAATTTAATAAAAATAAATATTAAACACCTCTTCGATACCAACAAAATAAATACAAATAAACGCAATGGCATCTAAGGATATCGAAGAGCTTAAACACCAACAAGATGCTTGCATGAAAAGT